TTGGTCTCCTGTTCTCCCGCTTAAATAAATAGTTGTCTCTAGTTGAGCCTTCAAATTGCAACCAGCCGACATCATTAAGTTCCACAGCTACACTACAGAATGGTTGCCAGTTGGTTGTTGAGTTCAGGCACTGATAAGCCATTTCATTGATTGTTTTATAATTTTTTTCCAATAAAAATTTTTTTAAAAAAATAGGGGCCGGTTGAGTGGCGTGTTGGTTAAGAGTTGGCTTGGGAGCTCGAGCTCTGAGCAGCAGGGCCACCGGTTCAGATCCCACATGAGGGCCAATGACGCTGCGCACTCTACAGCTAAGATGGTGAACAACAGCTCGACCTGGAGCTGGGCTGCCGTGAGATGCGGATGACAACATAGGCTGCAGCCCCAGCTGCAGTGGGCTGCCGTAAGCTACCGTGAGTGGCTGGCAGCCAGCATGAGCAGCCGGCAGCTGGTGTGAGCTGCCGTGAGCCGCAGTGAGCAGCCATCCAATGGCTGGCGACTAATCTGCCTCTGCTGGGAAGAGTGCAATGATCACAATACCAACATGGGCCAGTGAAGCGACGTCCTCCACAACTAGACTGAAGAACAAAAGGACAGCAACTTGTTTGTTCCCCTTCCCCAATTCCCCAGCGCTGTTCCCTCCCCAAATTCCCCAATAAAATCTTAAAAAAAAAAATAGACTAAGGGAAAGCATGCTTTGTTTTAAAGCAAATTGCACAAACATCACATCATCACTATGTGGAAAACTCTAGCAAAAACAATATTGCGTGCGCTAAAAAATAGATCCTATAGGCTCTACAGTTCCATAAAAAAGGACTAAAACCCTTTTTAACAGTAAAAATAAGAGTGCTCACTCAGGCTTAAGAGATTAGTTGTAAGAACTTTTTAAATTGAGATATAACATTATACGAGAACTTTTAATTATGCTTTTAAATGCTATATATGCTACCTTCTCAATACCAGGGGGGATTTGGTGTTAATGTGACTAATTTTCCAAAAATAAAAATCATGGATAACTATCCCAATTTTTAAAAACATACTTGCTAGAGCCCTACTGACAGATGAGATGGAATCTAGTGGGAATCACTCTCTTCATGATCCTGTTATTACATATGTGGAAGGGGAAAAAGGACAAACCAATACAGGCATACCTCGTTTCATTGGGCTTCACTTTATTGAGCTTCACGTGTTGCATATTTCACAAACTGAAGGCAGAACCCTCCACCAGCAGAATGATCACAACTTGCTTTATTGTGATATTCGGTGGTCTGGAACTGAACCCGCCATATCTCCGAGGTATGGCTGTTATGTTCCAACTCCCTATGTAATTGAGGTTAGATCTATTTTAAATAAGGCCTTTAGATCAGCTTAGCTTGGATCTCCCTAGAACTAATTCAAAATCCCGAGGTTGTTTTAATTACATTCCCGCTGAAACATCCTGGCACTGGAGCAGAAATGGTGAGCAAGACTCACTTTCATGATTTCCTTCCCTCTCTTTCCACGCTAGAGCCTGCTCCCCTTGTCCTTGCTAAACCATGTCCTATAATTCTTGACCCACAGCTTTTCCAGTCTTTCTAAGGCAATTTAAATAAGGTCAGGAGTGTGTGTGTGTGTGTGTTTGCAATTGGCGCATATTTCCTAATTTTTAAAATCTATCATATATATGCACATGCCCACACATGCCCACACATGCCCACACACACACACACACACACTCACACACATCTCCACCCAGAAGGGCAAATGCTTGGTTAGCTTATGCTCCCAAATGGCAGGAAAAGAAAAGATGTCTGAGGGTGAGATGATAACTACTTTTTCACTACTAGGAGAATTGTTTTAAAACACCACTAACCAAAAAAATTAGAACTCTTTAAAAATCAACATGGCTGGAGAGAAGTCCAAGATGGCAGATTAAGTTACCACTGTGTCTACTGCATCCCAGGATCACACAAAAATTACAAATAAATTATAAAACAATCAATCTCAAGAATCGTCTGAAAACTAGCTGCACAGAGCCTCTGTAACTAAGGATATAAAGAAGAGGACATAGAGAGACCGGTAGGAGGGGCGGAGATGTGAAACGAGCTAGTAACTCCAAATCCACAGATAGTGGCTGAACGCCAGGATGGACCCCTCGGTGTTGGAGGTTCCCTTTGAACAGGAAGGAATCCCAGCCCCACGCCAGGCTCCCCAGCCCGGGGGTCCTGCGTCAGGAAGAGGAGCTCCCACAGCATCTGGCAGTGAAAATCAGCGAGGACTGTCTGCTCTTCCCGGTGGGGTGGAGGGCAGCTGGCAACCCGGACACCCTCTTGTAGAGCCGGCCTACGGACGCGCTCGCTTGTGGGCACTCACCTGGTCTCTGGTGAACAGGCGGCAGCTCGGGAGGTCCAGGGACAGGTGGGGAAGGACTGAGTTGGTGCAGGAGCTGGAGGGACAGGAGCCGTTGTTGTCCCATTGTGGAAAGTGACACACATGTTCCCTAAAAGAGGGCGCCATCTTTTCAGTGTGTTAAGACCTCCCCCAAAGGGCCAAATCTGGGACCACATTGGTCTGGTGGAATCCGGCGTGTGCACTGCCTTGATGATGCCCTGTGACCCCGCTCCCAGCATAGCTGGTGCTACATCACCTTGGAAACTCTGGACTGCTGGGTTGCTGGCCCCACCCCACAGGCTGATAAAGCCTGTTTGCAGCGGGTGGTGGGCAGTAACCCAAGGCCTGTGCATCTCTTGGGCAGCTCTCGGGAGCTTGTGGGCCTGAAACAGGCAGTGGCTGGACATGGTGTTCTTGGTGTCTTTTTGCAGGATCGTCATGGGCCCAGCACCGGTGCAGGGGCCGAGACTGCACTGACTTTGTAGAAACCACTGAGCACACCCCTTAGCTCCCTGGACCACCACCCCACCCGCTTAGAACTGCATTGCCAGGGGCACTCTAGGTGCTTGGGTGGCTGGCCCCACCCCACAAGACCATAAAACTCCTAGAAGAAAATATAGGAAGTAAACTCTCAGACATCACCCTTAGTAATATTTTCACTGATCTATCTCCTCGGGCAAGGGAAACAAAAGAAAATATAAACAAATGGGATTACATCAAACTAAAAGGTTTTTTCACAGAAAGGAAATCATCAACAAAACAAAAAGACACCCTACTGAATAGGAGAAGATATTTGCCAATGATACACCTGATAAGTGGTTAATATCCAAAATTTATAAAGGACTCATACAACTCAACACCAAAAAAATGAACAATCCAATTAAAAAATGGGCAGAGGACAGGAAGACATTTCTCCAAAGAGGACATACAGATGGCCAACAGACATGTGAAAAAATGTTCAACCTCACTAATCATGAGAGATGCAAATAAATACCACAATGCGATACCACCTCACACCTGTCAGAATGGCCATCATCAATAAATCAACAAACAACAAGTGCTGGTGAGGATGTGGAGAAAAGGGAACCCTCGTGCACTGTTGGTGGGACTGCAGATTGGCGCAGCTACTATGGAAACAGTATGGGGGTTCTTCAAAAAATTCAAATAGAACTACCTTATGACCCAGCAATTCCACTCTTGAGTTATTATCCAAAAAAATCCAAAACACTAATTCAAAAAAATATATGCACCCCTATGTTTACTGCAGTGCTATTCACAATAGCCAAGATATGCCCATGAATAGACGACTGGATAAAGAAACTGTGGTACATTTATACAACGGAGTGTTACTCTGCCATAAAAAAAGAAACGGAATCTTACCATTTGCAACAATATGGATGGACCTAGAGGGTAGTATGCTAAGTGAAGTAAGTCAGACTGAGAAGGACAAATACCCTATGATCTCACTTGTATGTGGAATCTAAAGAACAGAATATAAGAGCAAACAAAACAGAAATAGGGTAATAGATACAGAGAACAACCTGATGGTTGCTATAAGTAAGGAGGTGAAGGGGTTAGAAAATACAAATTGGTACACAAAATAGCCACGGGGATGTGAAATACAGTATGGGGAATATAATTAATAATGTTGTAAAGACTATATGGGGTGTCAGGCGGATACTGGACTTATCAAGGGAATCACTTCATAGATTATAAATGTCTAACCACTGAGCTGTTCACCTGAAACTAATATAAAATAATACTGAATGTCAACCATGATGTAAAGTACAGCATGGGGAATGCAGTCAATGGTATTGTAATAACTATGTGAGGTGTCAGGTGGGTGGTAGACTTGTTGGGGTTATCACTTTGTGAGGGGTGTAAATGTCTAATCATTATGTTGTTTTCTACACCTGAAACTAATAAACTTTTAAAAATCGATATGGCTCTTTTATAAAATATATGAAGTAATAAACACACACACACACACAAATCAGAGACTCAACTACAAAATACACAAGTCGGGGCCGGCCGAGTGGCTCAGTTGGTGAAGAGCGCGAGCTCTGAGCAACAGGGTCACCGATTCGATTCCCACTTGGGCCAGTGAGCTGCGCCCGAGCTGAGCTGGTGAGAGCGCGAGCTCTTAACAGCAAAGTTGCCGGTCCAGCAGCTGCATGGCTCAGTGCGCAACAAGGTTGCCGGTTTATGGGATGGAGGACTATGCCCCCCTGCAACTAGATTGAAAGCGGCGACTGGACTTGGAGCTGAGCTGCGCCCTCCATAACTAAGATTGATGGACCAACAACTTGACTTGGAGCTGATGAGTCCTGGAAAAACACACTGTTCCCCTCCCCAATCCCCCAATAAAAATCTTACAAAAAACAAAAACAAAAACAAAATACACAAGTTAATTATTGTAAAAAAGAGCCTATTTTCTTTTTGATTTTATACAATTTAATAGTTTTACTTTACACATTTTAAATTCACTTTGGACCCAGCATGTCCTTAGGCTTCACCCACTCATCGAACTGCTCTGCTGTGAGGTAGCCAAGCTCAATAGCAGTTGCCTTTAAGGTTGAGCCGTTCTTGTGTGCTGTCTTAGCAATCTTTGCTGCCTTGTCATATCCTGGAAAAAAAAGGCAATATAGGCGTTAGTAGTGAAATCTGGTTTTCTAAAGCAAAAGGTAATCATTATTATTTACTTGCTATTGACGCTACTCATCTCTTAAGTAACATTCTTTAATCTTAAAAATATTTAACAGTGATTATCTTAATAGTTGTCACTTCTTATATAGAATGAAACCCTTACTTGTCTTATGTAATACAGATAAACATACCTCAATTTCTACAAGAGATTTGTTCCTAAATTGAAATTGCCCAATAACTCAGGTATTTTCACAGGGGGAAAAATATACATAGCACCAAGACACAACAATATACATCTGAGTAGTATAAATGTGTTGTTTCAAACAACGTGTTTCTCCAGAAATAATTATCTAACAAAGCACTGATGAGCTAGGTGCTTTGGCGCTGCATGGCTGGGGACTGAGGTGACCGGCTCTGTGAGTGGGCAGGAGGTGATCCATGGGGACTGTGGTGACCGGCTCTGAGCGGGCAGGAGGTGGCCCGTCATGGGGACTGTGGTGAC